TCCTCTGTGACGAGTATGCAGATCTGCTTGACTTTGCCACTACGCAGATCACGCAAGAACCGTTTCGGTTCTAGCGTTGGCAACTGAGTTATCTCCGAAGTCAACTTCGGAGGCACAATCAGATCAAGCGTGTAAGCGCCTACGCCATATCCGTCATTAACCAAGACGTTCAACGTCTCGGTTTCTTCCTGGGAACTTGCTTCCACAGGTTGCTGAGGGCCTAATCCCTCAGCAAGCGACTCTTGAGGAATTCCTTCCTCAAGTACGTGGGGACTTATTCCCTCGACGTCTTCCGACTGTGGCTGTGCAACCACAGTCAGGGACCGATCCTCTACGGTCGACTCTCCAGTCGACCTAGGATTTTCATGTTGCCCCTTGGGGGCAACAGACTTCTTTCTTCTAAGATGCTGCCCGCTAGGCATGCATTTATGTCCCGGTCCACTCGACTTATTCGAGTGGTGGACCTTCGGCGCAGCCTGTACTCTTGTACAGCCGCCGGGAGCTTGCTCCACAGTGTAGTGATCAACTACACTGTGATATTGTGCAGTCGTGCTAACGACCGTACCGCAAGTGAGGCCATCGCACTCACTCGCAGAACATCCACACGCTTGTGGACGCTCCAAGATGTTCATCAGATGGCCATCTGATGAACAAGCGGCAGGCATCTTCACGGATCGATGCTGCCAGCTCACTCTTGGCTCGTACTTTCTGAGCCAAGGTAATCCCAGGATGACATCAAATTTGTCATCCAGATCTAGTACGATGAAGTCATCATCGTACTGTTCGCCCTCTAACGTGTAGTGGATTCCTACTACACGCTTCTCAACGATAATCGATGCGCCTGTTGCAAGGCGCACCGTCATCTTCGTGAGGGGGAATGTCGCGCTCAACGAACTTGAGCCTACGACCGTCTAGTGACTGGCGACGAACAAAATCGTTCGACGCCCCACAATCTACTAGGGCACGAAGCGACAAATCATTTGTCGCTTCCAACTTCAAGGTGGTGAGCGAAACGTCATCACCAGGTGCAGAGACACACAATGATTGTGTATCTGGAGCAACTTTCGTCAAATGATTTGCAAATTCTCTTGAGGTTGCTAGATCAGTAGGGCGCTCCGCCCCTACTGACCCCGACCATTATTTGATGGTCCGTCTCGCTGTTGCGGCTTCGCAACAGCGCTGGACCCACGCCCATTGCCCTTTCTGGCAAAAGGTCGTCCATTTCGCTCAGTACTGTTTGGTACTGGGCGTGGAGCACTACACTCGTATGCGTAGTGCCCTAACTTCTGACAGCGATTGCACCTCTGCAATCGCTTTTTGTTCGAAGAGCGAGGTCTCTCGCTCTCAACATAGCAGAGGTCCATTGGTTCTGGACCTCCGATATCTTGTCGTCCTGGTGGACGGTAAGAGTTTGAGCTAGCATGAGCCTGTCTCATGCTAAAGTCTTCCTGTTCCGCGGCTGATATCGCTTCTTCAAGCGTATTCAGCTCAAGGCGGAACAGGTGGCTCCTGACGGGCCCTTCTGCGAGCCCTTGCATGAACACCGTAATCAACGTGTGTTCATGAACTGGGTTGGCAGTTATATTACTCGCGAGGAGTCGTATATGTTGAGCGTAAGCGTGCACATCACGCTTACCCTGCTTGAGCTTCAGGAGCTCTGAACGAGCCCTGAAATCAGCCCGTGGCGGCTCAAACGTTTGTCTAAGCCGGGACTTGAAGTCATCTAGCGACCTAAACACATTTGGGTCGCTACTCTCGAGTCCCAGGGACCAAGTTTTGGCACGCCCTGCCAAGTGCGTCCGAGCAAATGTGAGTTTCATTTGCTCATCTTCGACGCGACGAGCCCTTAAGGCTCCGTCGAGTTCGACAAACCATAGTAACAGGGAGTCTTTCGGGACTCCACTGTATTTGGAGATGTCAACTTTCATGACTTCGGGACGACGCGCATGCGCCGTCCCGCCCACAGCAGCATGGAATTGCTGCTGTCTCAACAGCTCTGTCTGTTGAGCACCGAGTTCTCTCAACTGCTCGGCTTGTTGAGAGCCTTGCTGGTGAAGCAAGGATACTTTCTCTCTTTCGGCGACAAGTTCACTTTGAATGAACCTGGCTATAGTGGCATGCTGTTGGTCTCTGTCTATAGACTCCAACATGGCGCTAATGGCGAACTCGCCTACGGTAGAACTCATTCGTTCTACCACACCCCATTCGATATCACTCAAATGGGTAAACACTTCACGCGTGGCGTGAAAGGTCTCTTCATCATCCAACATGTTTATGTTGGATGTTGTGGTCCTTGGAAGGACTACAAAGTGCTACCAGGTGTAACGGGGCACACCCTTGCGTGAACTTAACGCAAGGGTATCGGTGCCCCGACAGACGTACACAAGGCAAGCGAGGAAGCGTAGGTAAGGTAAAAGCAGAACTGTTATATTAATATAATTAAGTCTTTTAACTACTGTCTCTTTGTTTGACTTAACTTAATTATGCTAATATAACTGATTGTATGGTGACGTCTCGTCACCACTCATTGCGCGCGTCTTGCGGCGATTGGTGGGTTGATATGATCAAGATATCAACCAATGAACAGACTCTTTGGTCGACCCTTCAATATCACCGCTACGGTGATATTGTTTAAAGAATATTCAACTTCATACTCTTTATTGTCACTTTTCTTAAAGTGACAATTCCATGTAACGGGCTGCCCCGTTACAGCTCACCTACAAATTTGCTGCTCCGCAGCTACATGAATTGTGCGAGTTGTTGTCCCTAAGGTGAAGACATCCCGGGAAGGAGTGTTGAATTGCTACAACTCCTATACCGGCGCTACTCTTACGACAAAGAGACTGCTGGAGTGCATCGATAGTTAAATAGCAAAGACTGTCAATCAACAAGGTGACTGTTGACTGCGTGCAATATAGAGTCGTGGTAAATTTACGAGTATGGGTCTGACAGGACAATATCGTTCATTTAACTCTTGGGTCTACATCTACCTTTTCGGTCGCACTATTATCGAAAAGGGATGACTTAGCAGGCTCCGACGCAGCCATTTCGTGACTGGTTGTCGATGGTGCCTGCGCCGTGTTGATGCCGTCGGCCTTCTCTAAGATTCGGCTCATAACCTGTTCGATAGTGGTAGTGCTTGATTCAGCGAGGAAGGTTTTAGCGCCTTGATAAAAGGATTCTGTCATTATGTGTTGTGTAACGGGGCACTGTTGACTCCGTACTGGTCGACCAGTACGGAGTATACTTCCACTAACGACAGTGGTCGACAGTGCCCTGCTAGGTGTTTAAGGAACACAGAGGAAGGAAAGGAGACTAAGTAGTCAGACTAGTCTCTTGGTAAAAGTAAAACTGTATCAATATAATTAAGTTATATCACTCCTTGAATCTCTGTTGTCCTGACTTAATTGTACTAATATAACTATATGATGACGTCTACTCACCACCCATTGCGCGCGTCTAGCAGCGATTGGTGGGTTGATATCATCACAATATCAACCAATGAGTAGACCCTTCGGTCATCCCAACAATATCACCATGTCTTGTGATATTGTTAAAAGAATATTCGACGTAATATTCTTTATTGTCAGATTGTTTTAGTGACAACCTCATGTAACGGGCTACCCCGTTACATGTTTCTCCTGCGGTACATGTCTTGCTTCTCTCTCGCTCATGTCCATTCGAGTTGATTCTTGCAACCGAACCTGGCCGAAGATGATGATTTTACAGGCTCTAAGACGTTAGCCGCTGCTTCAACAGCCCTCACATGCCGCTTTAAACGTTTTTGTAATTGGTGCGAAGCAACTATCCAACAATAGAGAAATGCAATGTATAACAAGTTTTACAAAACCCTACGTACTCGTGCGAGTTGTCTACATCTTCAACACTTCAGTGTAGTAAAAAGAAAGATATATTGAATATAGTTAAGCTTGTTAATACATTTACATAAATCTTCCTGAATCATGACTCGATACAAACACAAACTGTGAGTATGTACGAGCCACCCTTTGCGCGTGCCATCATTGATTATAAGCGTGTTCGTCGGTACAATGGTCCATAGCAGCTAATGAGCGAAATTTACTGAATATTACCGTTTTTTTGGTAAAATGCAAGAAAACTTTCGGTAAAGATGCTATATTCACATTGACATTTCATGTCAAGGTCATGTAACCTGGTCGCCCCGTCCAGTGCAACTATCATGTTGCAAAAAGCGGACGACGCCTTCTCACAGTTCAAATGTTTCGACGCGGTGGCTCGAATGGTTTCGAAGCACGATAAAGCTATCGGTAATGGCGCAGTCAATTTGCAGTAGTTTCTTGTTGTCAGCATGAAGCTCAATCATGCTGACAACAACAACACTGGGGCATCTGCAAACATCTATTCTGGCATTGAGTCGTCTGCTCGCTCATCAGTTTTGCGCAGTTGGCAAAAAAGTGCGTCTCATGTGCAGTGGATGTAAGATTTATACATCTCTAGTGGACGAGAGGGTTGATCTCTGCTACTCGTTGTCCGCATGTTATAATGTGCGCGACAAGGCGCCAAGGCGTTTCCAATGGTTTCAAATCGGATTCTACTGATAGAGGAGGCGGTGCCCAGCATACGAGGATCGCGTATCGCAGCTAAAGGATGGGGTGGGTTTCTTCTGTAATAGTGACGGACGCTCAAGGCAAGACTGAAGGACCTATGCAAGAAGCGTCGGCTCTCGGCGGTTCAGTATGAAGTCTTTTCGCTGCAGATCTCGTGCCTGCAATGTCGGTTTTATATTATGTATGTAACGAGATATATTTGCGGTCGTCTGCAAAATTCATGAAATCTACCGCAAGACCGCGGTAAACAATGGACGATCCGGTCCTTTATGTAGCTATCCCTCTAGTATGCTGATTCAAGCAGCTGAAGTTGCGTCATTGATCCGTCATAGTGCGATTTGCAGCGTACAACACCACGACGGCTTCTATTACACACCGTAGTCCCCGAAACTACTTTCCATTTCGAGTTGACAAATGTTTCGCCGCGTCACGAGGAGCTACGCGAAAGTGGGGACGGCAGCACTACTTGGCGCCCCTGTGCTCCTGCTAAACGAACACGCACGTGCAGAGCAGAGGGTGTATGTGAGCGGGTACGTACGTAAACAACGAGGACCATATCGCCTTTGCTTGCTGACATTTGCTGCCGTCAGTGAAGCATTGGGACGAGGAGTGCGTCTCGAGCTCTGGAAGGCCCAGGTCGGTGCGAGTGGTGGCTTCTGTGTGTACAGACGGAGACGCGCAAGCTCTGATGGGAATGGGTGCAGCATGAGAATGTGGTGGTGTTGGATCTAGAGAGCGAGTTGATCCAGCTCGGGATGACACGGATTCGTGACTACGAAAACACTGGTGAGGACGTTGAAGGGAGAGAGAGGCAGAGGCGCGTGCCTTCCGACATGCTGATGCATTGACGTGTCTTTTTGTTGCTGCTGCTGCCGTGAGGATAGGTGCCAAGTTTGTCCATGATGCGAACGGAGTGCTGCGATCGGCGATGGATTTGGCGCTCACAGAGCTACCGAACGACGGACAGGTGACGGCCATGTCGCGTTGCCTGGTGCTCCATTGTTTGTCAATGACGTTCGCTGGTGCTCATGCGTTGACGGCAATTTACTCAGGCTGTTGTGACGACCCCGCGCGGGTACAAGGTAGAGGGTCTTGTGCTAGAAGACAATGTAAAGGTGTGCGGTGTCAGTGTTGCCGTGAAGCCAGAGACGCACGAGGGGTATGTTGACTGACCACAAGTGGTGCGTGTACATTTGGTGGCTAGCCAGGTTTGCGCTAACGTACTTGTGTCGCGGATGTGTAGGTTGGCGCAGGTTCTTCGCGCGTCCCTTCCATACGGCGCCAAGCGCGGCGAGATTTTAGTGCAAGAGCTCGTGAAGGGCGGCAACAAGGTATGCGTGTGCAGTCGACCATTTCCCGCGCCTTTCTCACGCAGTCCATTGACGCTTGCTAGATCGCGAGCGCAGCTCTCCCGGATGACTTGGACGACCACGAAGTGCTGGTCCTTCTGCCAGAGCTTGCGTCCGTGTCCCAAATCGACAAAGTCATTCACGTACGCGCTTGGAAGCGATATCTTGTCTAGCTTCATTTTAGCCGGTACCTTTCTGTTGCAAACGACGTTGTGGTGGTGCTATTGTGCAGCTCTTAAAGTTACAAGGTGTGGAGGAGAGCAACGTTACGGTTGTAACTCTTGTTACTTGCCCCGAAGCTGCAGATAAATTCTGCAAGGTTGGTGCAGCACTCGGCTGCAGTTTGCGTGAGTTTGTGCTCACATGTTGCTGGCTGCGTGTCGTATATGGACAGGCATTCGGTGATGCTCGATTGGTGACTGCTTCTTTCGACGCGCGGCTCAACGATAATGGTCACATCGTGCCAGGCATCGGGTCTTTTGAAGAGCGTTACATGGGTACTTCTAGTGACGTCGTGGAGGTTGCAGAAGATCCTGTCGTGGACAGCAACGAAGCTGACAAGGCTCTGAAAGCCAACATCGCGCACAAAATGATGGCATGGCTCAAGTAGAACGGAGAGAGCACTGGCTTTAGATCCGGTTTGACAGACGTGGTCAAGATGGGACAAGGAAGAAAGTGGTGGGAGCAGCTATTTTTGTATGCTTTTGTGTTTTTTGTGTAGTCAAATTATATGTAGTCATATGTTGCAAGAAAGACTACTGACACATGACATAGCAGTAGAAACCCGCACGTTCCACATTTGTGCTTAGAAATAGTCCCTTCGCTCCAATTTCGCTCTGCATGATCTCGCTTTAGGGTCAGTCCCACCTGTTCCACGGCATCACCGCAACAAAAAGAGGTCACGGTGTCACAAAATGCCGATGAATTTCAAGGTGACGTTCGCTGATGGCACCTCCACGAAGCTCTTGGGACTGCCCGACGACGCGACGCTGGACGGACTGCGCGCGCATCTATTCGAGAAGACTTCTATTGCACCGAAAGATCAACACGGTGAGATCAGGTGTTGCGCCTGCCGATTGACTGTGCGCGGTGAACGACACGACACGACGCGATGCGCTGATGATGATTTTTTGTTTCGTCTCTTGTGGTTTGTTGCGGCAGTGATGACGGGATTTCCTCCTCAACTAGTTGAGGGACGAGGAGTACGTGTCGTGGTGAATACGCTGTAGTGAAGTAACAATCGAGTGACGGGACTGCTGCATTTGTGTCAATGGCGTTGTCGTAGGAGAGTACGTTGTCGTCGTTGGGAGTACGGACAGGCTCAGTGCTGGTGCTCAAGGAAGCCCCGAAGACCAGTGGCGCCCCTCTGAGAGTGAAGTCCGTGTTCATGCGACGCGTCATGCCGACAGACAATAGTTGTCTCTTTCATTCCATCGGGTACGTACGTTGCGAAAAGTTCGGCAGCGGTGCTGGTTGCTGACTGACAGTTTATTCCGTGTTTCAGATACGCTCTTCGGAAAACTCGAGACGAAGGCGGTACTATGATGCGGGAGTTGATTCGAGATACGATTCTGGCAAACCCGGAGAAATACTCGGAGGTGTTTTTGGGACGTCCAGTATATGAGTACTGCGCTTGGATCACGGATCACCAGTCATGGGGCGGCGAGATCGAGTTGTCAATTCTATCGACATACTACAAAGTAGAGATGGTCGTGTTTGATGTCACAAGCATGAGCAGACTCTGCTATGGCGAAGACCAGGGCTTCACGCAACGGATGTTCTTGCTCTACGACGGTATCCACTACGATCTGGTGGTCGAGTCCCCGTCTACCACGGCGTCGGAGCGCCTGGATATGACGCTCTTTGCAATAAACGACTTCACGAAGGTACGGCGTAGACAGACTGAGTGATAAATGAGCTGCTATTAAGTGTGCCGCCGTTCGTTTGCAGGTCGAACGTGCCAGTGAAGTTGCGGTGGAAGCTCATCAGAAGCACGAATATACCGACGTCAGTCGTTTCAGCATCATGTGTCTGGAGTGCAGAAGCACCTTTGTCGGACAGGTGAGTCAGTCGACTAAGTATTTTTCCTTTGCTTAACTCACGCGTACATCTTACGTTGCTGCAGAGAGAAGCGCTTTCGCATTCAACTACCACAGGGCACACACAATTTGGAGAGATCAAGTCGCATTAGTCCGATGCCATCCCAAAACACACGAGTGCTAAGCTGCTGACGACGTCGACAGCAAAGGCTCTGATTGACGAAAAGGTCCCGCTTCATCTGATTGCGACCGAAAGTCGTCATTAGATGAGGATAGGGAAGCGCCACTTCGACGATGCCGATCATCCGCAGTTGCTGCTTCTACACCGTCGGCTGTAGCACCACAGCAGCCAAGTACTGAGGGTATGCAATAGAGCGCTTACCAACCAATTGCTAGTGTCAGTGTTGAACCAGCTGCAGATGTTAGACAAGGGTGATATTGCACGGGACGGAGGCCGCGGAGCCTAGCAGACCAGAGCAGCGTGTCTCGCTGTCAGCTGCTGTACACTATTGCCACGACAACTGCAGCGGTGATGATGGGCAGGTGAGGTACATTGAGATACTTCGAGAGGTCTCTTTTGGCCGACTGCAGCTGTGGTGGACGCAACACTCTGACCAAAAATCTCTGGTGTTACCAGTTGTTGGTATGTCAAGGCCACTGGCTCAACTACCTGTACCCGGAGATCTGCCAGAAGCATACGGAACCCTTTGACATCCTCTTCACATCAGACGGACTGTAGCAAAGGGCACTCGACGGAATGGTGCGAGCACGACTGTCCGTCCAACATCTCAAGCAGAAGTGGGACGAAGGTCCGTCTACTATGGGATCTACACTTTCTGAGCCCCGCACTACACGTCACCTGCAGAGACGACAGACTGCAAACCGACTCAACCGCTGACAGCCGTCGCGCGCACGGAATTATCTGGGAATCCACCGGCTTTACCTTACGATGCGATCGAACACTTTCGTCAAATGTTCCTTCGCAGCAAAATACATGGGTCTAGTGGAACTTCTAAGCTCGCAGTGGGTTTGGTAAACACAGTTGGCACGCTGGTGATTGTCCACAGATCAAAGTACGCGCACACTTGACCGCCGTGTTGATTGCGACGTGCAATGAGCGAGGGGTACGTGTCGTGCTTTAGCTCTGTTGTGCCGTGGCTAAGACATCCTTGAAGTGAGTTGATACTGCACAACCACGACCTGGACATTGGCTTGGAGCCTGTGTTTGCTTTGTTTTCTTCAAGCAAAGCAGCTGACAGACGCCGACCTGCCGCTGTGTGCATCGACGGACGCGCGTCACTCGCTCTCGATTCTTTTCGAAGAAGAATCGTATCTGCGTCATCATTGTAATATCAAGTCGTCATATGACCATATTCGCAGTATTGTGCACCGATGGCATCATATCAATTTACTTTACTTACGGGATAAAGTCTACATTTGCTGCAGAAGATCGACCCGAGGTGCGATCGTCGACTTTTTGCTGATCGGTTTCGGTCCAGTTGTAAGCTGTCGACACTATTTTAGGCCGCAGCAGTACGAGTGCTCGGCACTATCACACGATCGCGTCTCACTTGCACTGCAACCGTCCAAAGGACACGAACGTGGCAATGTTCTGCTCAAACTGACATCCAAGCAAGTACACTTCAGGCTCAACGCATTCGGCACTACTGCTGCCCTTGTTTGTTCACACAAGACTTACACAGGCGCAAGACGGAGTACATTCATGCGCGAGCTCTAGTCAATGCTGGTACAACAGTGAGCAGCCAGACTACCAAACGAGTGGCAAACGAAAGACTACCCGCGCCACGTGCTTGCAACGGACTCTGCCAATCCAAAGCCTCTTACTTGTCGGGGAAGTCCACCTTGTCCGAGCCAAGCGGAGACCGCGGGTCGTTGGGAGGCGACGCAATGCGGAAAGCGCTCTCAACGTCGGCGAGCATCGCCAGCTTCGTCTTGCGCACTAGTCGACTATACCACCACAGCATGACAATGCTCAGCGCGCACAGGACGATGTTTATCCAGAACACAGGGGTGAGCGACGGGATGGCGGCAGGCAGCAGTGGCAGCACGATCCGCGAGACCGAAGCAGCCGAGCCGAGCAAGCCCATGAGCGTGCCCTGGGGGCGACCACCCAGCAGCTTGGAGAATGCGGCAAGCACCACGGCAGTCGTGATCGGGCAGCCGACACTCCACACGAGTAGCTCCGCAAGGGCGAGTCGTGAGAACGAGAGCTGCGTGGGGCCCACAACGAGTAGTACGTTGCCTGCGAGGAGCAGCGCAAAGCCAAGCTGAACCCAGCTCACGTCTCGGAGACTGTGGCGGAAGAACTCGATGGAAAAGTACGTGAGCAGACCCAGCAGACCCAGGTAAAACTGGAAGTTCGACGCGTCCACGACGGCGCTCACACTGTCTGGATCCTTGCCCGTCGCTAGAATGAACAGCGGGATGTTCACAGTCTCGAACACGGACAAAATGCCGCGGGCGTTGAAATTCAGGAAGATGAACACGGCAGCGCCAATGTTCACAATGCGCTCGGGCATGTTTGTTGGGTCGCTCAGCGTGTTGTTTGTGCTGGCCGACTCGATTGGACCGTCGTGCACTTGAACGGACTCATCGTACACAGTCAACATGCCAATGATTGTCATCAGGTTGAACAGCACGAGAATCATACCCGGCGACGTAAACTTGTTCAAGTGAATGCCCAAAACATACGTGTCCGTAGTGGCCACGAGACTGCCGAGCCCAGGAGTCAGCGCGTAGCCAAAGAAGACGACCGTTGCTAGCATGGTCAGGTACGTGAGTCGCTGGTTAACGGTCGTGATCGAGGCCACGTCGGCGCGGCAGACGCTCCGATTGCCAGCTCCAAAGCCCACGATGGACCGACTGATCGCAAGAGCGGTCAAGCTGCCGGCCCCGTGCTGATCGGCAAACACGTACAGGAGGTTCCCCACGAGGCAAATGCCGGACGACACGAGGTAGACCGAGCGGAACGAGTAGTGGTCACACATCCAGCCAAAGACCGTGGACGAGATGAGTCGTCCAACGGAGAAGAGCGACGTGAGCATCCCCATGAAGGCCAAGTCACCGCCCAGGGATTTCGTGTAGAGGAAGAGCGTGGCCAGCACGACGCCCCGCGAGGACTCGGCCGCAAACTCGACAAAGTTGATCATTGCAATGTTCATGTACCATTGCGTGAGCCGACGAGGCGAACTGGGCCCGGACCGTTTCGGTTCGGCCGTGCCATACGTGGCCCCGGCGCTAGCAGACAGGGCGGGCATCGTCGTCGCGAGACTTGCGGCGGCGTTGGCACAAGGCGAAATGAGCTATTCGGCGAGATGATGATCGGGGAGAGGAGCTCTTGGACATAGTGAGCGCAAGATTCGCTGCGCCACGTTTTTGCCGAGAGGGGGGAAATATCCGGAGACGCAAAAAGGGCGCGTCAGCAGGCCGTGTGATTTTTTGGTACGGTGCAGAGACGGTCCTGGTGCACAAAAGGTACGACGCGCAGCTCACTGGAGCATCCTGCGGATCGTCCGTCCGCCCGTCCGTCTGTCTGTCTGCCCGATCGTTGCTCGGAAGCTGTCGCGCGAGCTCTGCTAAAGTGCGACTTGAGTCACGTTTGTCCTACTGCAGCTGCTGCATGATTTGACCACCGCCCAGATCTTTCCTGTTCCGGCAACAACGTGGGGCTGGCGCGCTGCAATGAACTGCTAGAGAGGTTTGGTGCAACACTTGGTCCGGGCACATTGAGACTCGAAGCGGCAAACAAAACAGCAGCAAAAGGGTCATCGGAACCTGAAGTGCGACTTCCAACGCATCTGGGAGTTTGTTCCGGCCTTGGTCATTCCAGCCACGTTCAGCTTGTCGCCATCTGGTACAGTCTTCTCCCGCGTAAACGACCTGTTGGCGCTTGTGTGGGGTACGTCGGAAGCAGCCCGCGACCCGTATGCATCCTGTACAGACGGGCCCGTACTCATGGTGCACTGCGGCGGATTGCGACGAGGGTACTGATTGACCCAGGCCCAATCATTCCTTTGTCCATTCTTGACTGGGACCGTCGTGTTGAGTTTGGCCGCGAGGAATGAAGAGCCATATGGAGCTTCAGAGATCCGTCCAGCCACCTCCCGCAGCTTTGTCGCCCCGTCCGGTGTCATATCGTCGGGCAGCCAACACTTCGAGCCAACTTCTGGACCCTTAGTAGTGCCCGACGCCGCTGCCGACACTATGTTATCAGCGATCAGCGATGGGAAGCTACATTGCCCCTGGCTTAGCTTCCACCAGAGATGCTCGCTCATCTGCAGCTATTCGGTTAATGAATACAAATTGAGGTCCGAGCAAACGTAAGTGAACTGGACGTTGAACGTCCCTGCGACATCCCTCAACGTGACCGGATGTTGCTCGTTGTCCACAAGACGGACAACGAGATCGGAGTGTCGGACACTGATTGGATTCCTCTATCGTTGACGTGCAAAAGGTAAAGAGACATTGGCGCCAATACAGTGTCTGACGATTAATGGATTTACTTTGCGTGCTAGCGGTCAACGCCTTTGCACGGATCTCTGATTCATGCCCGTCCTGTTGAAGCGCGGTGGGTCAATACGTGCTCGAACCTGCAGACGCTCGGGCGGGAACTTGCTGAATGGAATGTGCTAAATGGATTGGGCTGGGAGGCACCGGTCGGGTCGGGTGCTTGCTACTTGTGCACGAGACGAAAGCTTTGCGCGCATCTACTGACGAGATCGGCTCACCGGGGCAGCTCTACGGCAAACGCGCTGCAACATCAGTGTCAAGAACGAACAAAGCGCGTCGTGCACATGCTCGCACCTCGATCACGCGTGACTTAGTTGTCGTCGAAGTCCACCTTGTCCGACCCTAGTGGCGACCGCGGGTCATTCGGTGGAGACGCGACTGCAAACGCATTTTCGACATCCGTCAGCATCGCCATCTTCGTCCGGTACACCACACGATTGTACCAGTGCAGCAGTGCCACGCTCACAGCACACAGCGTGATGTTGATCATGAACACTGGAGTCAGCGATGGAATGGCCGCGGGCAACAGCGGCAAAACGATACGCGAAACAGAGCCTGCAGAGCCGAGCAGCCCCATGAGCGTCCCCTGTGGTCGGCCACCGAGAATCTTGGAGAAGGCCGCCACGACAACGGCAGTCGTGATCGGACAGCCGATGCTCCAGACCAAAAGCTCTGCAAATGCCAGGCGGCTGAACGTGAGCGAAGCTGGTTTCAGTGCCAGCACGATGTTGCCCACGAGTAGGACGGTAAAGCCAAGTTGCACCCAGTTGACGTCGGTGATTCGCTTGCGGAAGACCTCGATGGAGAAGTACGACACAAGACCGAGCAACCCCAAGTAGAACTGGAAGTTGGAGGCGTCGACGACCGCTGCGACGCTGTCGGGATCGCTGCCGGTCACTTGGAGGAACAGCGGGATGTTCACTGTCTCAAACACTGACAGTATACCACGAGCAGAAAAGTTGAGGAAGATAAACACCATCGCGCCAATGTTCACGATGCGTCCGGGCATGGACGTGAGATCCGACAGCGTGTTGGTCGTGGCAGCGGTGCTGGGCGACTCAAGTGGGCCGTCGTGGATGTCAATGGTCGGGTCGTATGTCGTCAGCATGGCAAAGATCGTGACCAGGTTGAACGCGACGAGGATCACGCCCGGCGAGGTGAACTTGTTGAAGTGCATGCCGTAGAAGAACACGTCCACGTCCGCCACGAGGCTGCCGAGACCTGGCGTCAAGGCGTAGCCGAGAAACACGACCGTCGCCAGGATCGTGAGGTAGCGCAAGCGCTGGTTGATGGTGGTCATGGCGGCGACGTTGGCACGACAGACGCTACGGTTGCCAGCCCCAAAGCCCACGATGAAGCGACTTGCTGCCAACAGCGGCAAGCTGTTCGTCACGTGGATGTCTGCCATGAGGTAGATGAAATTGCCCAGCAGGCAGATGCCCGATGAAACGAGGTAGACCGAGCGGAACGAGTAGTGATCGCACATCCAGCCAAAGATCGTGGACGAGATGAGTCGTCCGACGGAGAAGAGCGACGTCAGGAGACCCATAAAGGCCAAATTGCCGCCCAGGGATTTCGTGTAGAGGAAGAGCGTGGCCAGCACGACGCCCCGCGAGGACTCGGCCGCAAACTCGACAAAGTTGATGAGCGCCATGTTGATGTACCATTGCGTGAGACGGCGGCGAGGACTCAGTGTGAAGTTCTTGGGCATCGCGTCGATGTCTCTCGAGCCATAGGACTTGCTGCCGCCAGGAAGAAGCGCGGGGTGCTGCACCATTGGAAAGAAGAAGCTTCTGCTTGGACGCAGATACCGAAATGATCATACACATCGACATGGCCTGCGTGTCGATCACGAATGAATCTCGACACTTGTCGGTGTGGAGAACATACATGCGTAGCCGGGCCAGTGGTCTCACCTGGTCTTAGTATGCTGACTGGAATTGACATTCCTGTTCAACATGGAACATGATTTTCTGCGTTCGTAGCAGTCTCGTGCTTTGCATGACCCATATGCTGCTCCACTCGTAGAGGACTCATGCGCTTGTCCATGTTTTTGCACTGGCTGTAAGCTGCCAAGATCAGGCTGTCGCCACGCTTTGCCGACGCGAATGCAGCTTTTAGCCCGTCACGCTTTGTTGCGAGGCACACAAGAGTCGCACGCTTCGCTTTCCGCGCGTGATGATGGAGGTGTCCTACAGTTGACCACTCGCACTCGTTATGCTCCTGAGGTGCGGTAAGTAGTGCTGATACCAGACCGCGTTCGCCAAGGTCCTAAGAGGTCATGTTTTGTTGACGTTGACACAAGGCGCTGCTTGTTCCCGCTTTTCCACCATCCAGCTCAAGCCACTCGTCACTTTGACCCCCTCATCTCGAGCAGCCAGCTTTAGCCGGCATCCTTCCCGCCAACGCCGAAGCAAACATAGCTTTGCTCTGATCATGCCGCTCCTATTGCCACTTGTCGTGCAAACGACTGGTTGCGGTTGACTGGAGATGCTAAGGCTAGTGGCGTCTCTGTGTCAGGTAGCATCGCTTCAGCGTCGCCACCTTGTTTAGGCTACCTACATGCAGCACCTTTCCTCCTCTCTGCTTCGCAGGCCAGCAATGCACCGAGAGCGATCAAGAATGGGCTCGCATCAAGGCTCAAGTGGGACAGTTGTCAGTCCCGCCCTACTACTCGTCGCCTCTCTTTTCTCCTGAAGCACATCACGACAATGTTCCAGTACTTCGTGCCATGGCCAATGAGTCTGTCTGCCGACATCTGCTTTTACGCCACTCGATGGCAATAGGCAGTCGCGCAATCCTCTCGCAAAAGAGCGCTACTGCTTTCTGTTTTTTCGTGGCGTGCCATCGCCTCCTCGTCTGCTTTCCGACTGGGAATGTCAAACGCAACACGGGCGGGCACGAGCTGTCGTTGCGCTGTCGTTTCTATGCAACTGCGACACGCGCGAAAGCCAGGAAGAGACTTCAACAAAATCGACCGGCGGTATCCACCCCGCTGTCGACCGTCTTTCGTGTGCACCACGTGTTGATGTGCGCATCGTGTGTCACAGAGCTCATGCAATGTCCGATAAAGCACCGCCCACCCACCCCCCGCCGCACCATGGCGCTCGAGCTGGCCAAGACCGCGGAGGTACGCCGTGTCCTCCCACTTGTTCCCTCTACACTCCGTGTCGCATCTATCGCCCACTAACACACACTTCCCCGACCTCTTCTTCCTCCAGCAATCGATCAATGACTTCTTTACGCGCGACGACGCGCTCTCGCGTCTGGACCAGCTGCACTGCCGCACCCTAAAAGCCGTGGAAAAGGTGCTCCAGGTTCCGCGACCGCTCGAGTTCACGCACAATGTACTGGACTTGGCAGTGCAAAAGGTAGCGGAGAAGCTGGCGTGGAAGCTCCTGACCGAATCTCGTGCGACACCGACCAGCGTGGGCGTCCCGGTGCTTCTCGACCTTTGCATTGCTGGGGTGACCAAGAAGCTCCTCGTCAATAGTACACCGTATAAGGTCTTGGAGGATCTTATGGAGGGACAGACTATAAGTGCGTGTGAGAAGATATGGGAGCTGCTGGAATCTCGCAAGGACAAACTCACGACGGTATGTGCGCTCGCTGCGCTTCTGTCAGTCTCTATGTCGTTCATCACCGCTTGCGACTGCGGCAGGTGGCTGCAGTAGTAACGCAGCGTGTGTTTTCTTCTTGATTGACACAGCCAGATTTTATCGCCGAGAAGGGTCGCACGACAAAGGCGTCGCTGTGTTTGCTGCGCATGTGCAACGCTCTGCTGCGTCGCTTGTCCAAGACTCATAACAGCGTGTTTTGCGGCAAGATTCTGATCTTCTTGTCGTTCACATTCGCGCTGTCTGAACGCTCGGCGGTCAATCTTACGGGCAAAGCAAACGTGACGAATGTGACTGTCTACGAAGATGAAGAAGCGTTTGACTCAGCTGAAGCGTCAGATGCTGCAAAGATATCGGAAGGTGCCGTGCTTCCACTGGAGGTGAGCCCTGCGCTTTTTTCTTGTACGCGGCACAGGAGGTTGGACTTACCATATGTTGGTATGGCATCGTTGCACTGCTGTCAGATTGATACTAGCGCTTCTAGTGTCGACGCCGGTCCTATGGACTACAATCTGTATCGTACCTTTTGGGATCTGCAGAGCTTCTTCCGCGAGCATCAGATGGTCGTCCAGTCAGCGGAGAACTGGGAGAAGTTTGTACGTGTGATGAATGGCAGCTGTATGGTCGAACGCCTCGACGGCTGACGTTGCTTTTTCGTTGCGTGAGTTTGCAGTTTACTGAGCTGGATGTAGTGCTCGAAGCGTTTGAAGGCAATGCATTCTCGCCAGATGATTTAGAGCGCTCACGAGACTCAAGTGGTGGCCTGGTCTGCTCAGCGGGTGTACCTGTTCTCGGGTCAACTGGCAACACGAATAAGGATGCAACAGAGCAGGGTCCGCAAGACCATTTCTTCCAGCCCAAGTACCTGACCAACAGCCGTCTCTTCAGACTACAGCTTCGTGACCCAATCTTGCGCGAGTGCATGCTCACACAGTTCCTTATCCTTTTTAACGACCTCGCCAGGGTAAAGCCTCCTGCCGGTAGCACTACGCCAAAGACGAAGCTGGCTGTTTTGAATGAGCGTGTAGTTGCCTTGCTGGAGCAAACGCCATTAGATGGGAAAGGTTACAGCGAGATGGTGTCTTACGTTCTTGAACGCGAGCGTAATTGGGTCAAGTGGAAGCAGGAAAAGTGTCCGGGATACGAGAAGTACCCATCTGCGACGGAGGACGAGTGTTCGGGGGCTCTAGAGCCAGCGGCAAAGCGAGCTCGTCGGCATTTGACCTCGCCGTTGCTGGAGCAGATTTTGTCAGAGAGCTCGAAGCCATCGCAGATCTTGGAGACACTCAAAGGCAAAGAGCGAGGTGCGTGATGAAGCGTTGTGTGGCTTTTGTAAATGTAAGCGGCTATCTCATTTTGTTCGCTACGACATGTTGCAGCGTCCGAGGTTTCCATCGCTACGTATACCGACCGCTTTAAAGAAGCTTGGAATCCCGAGAACGGCATCGAAGAGCAGTATTGGCCGGACAAAGATGAGATGGTCTGTTGGCGAACGATGCGTGCTGCGATCAAGACGAACGTGAAATGTTTGGACTTGGCGGTGGAGGGCACGGGCTCGCTTGTCAAGGGTATTCTTGGCACTGATACCACCGCGTCGAGCAAGGTATCTACCGTTGTTTCAACGGTCAAGCCTGTAGGCGCGGAAACTGCTCTTGTGAAGGAAGAGCCTGGCAAAGAAAATGGGTCGGACCATGACGCATCCAAGGACACAGCGTCCGGTACGAGGAAGCGAGGAAGAAGTGCCTCTCTTGAGGGTACACAAATTGGCGAGACTCCATCAATGAAGCGCGAGCGAATGGGAAACAAACGCTACGACGACGATGTTGAGGTGCGTATCGATCTGTGGCATCATTTACTGCTCATCCAGCGACGTTTGACATTTGGTGTATGAAACGACTTTGGATGCAGGACGGCGAAGAGGCATGAGCAGCTCGAGGTCGCAAAGAAACGTCTTACCTGAGTCGTGATGATAGTCGGCCCTTGAGCGCATGTTTTGCGGCAGCAGATTGAATCGATATCGACTGTAATGAGCAATGAGAACTCTTGCGTTTTGCTTTGTTATGGATGCGGCAATTGTAGGCACTTTGTTCCCGTCGTCCAGTATGTTCGTGCCTTGATGCTGCATGACCCAACAACAGCTTATGTAACGAGGTCGGCGAGCGCTGTTGCAAATACATGAGCTACCAGCAAACAGCGCCAGTTGTCACATCTACTTGGTCCCTATTGCGAAGACTGTGGAGCTGTGGTGTGATCTTGCAGTCAAAGAATATTCTTGGCTTGCCAAACGCGCGTAGCGGATAGCAACGACATCATGCCATGCAGGAGTCAAGCAGCAGGAAAGAACACATCGAGTGTAGCTCTTTTGCTGACGCTTTTCGCGTCCCGATCTTGCTTCCTTTGCTTCTGCGGAGTTTGCCTCTGCTCATTTCGGACTCTAACACGGCTGCGTCTATGACTCGTACATTTTTACGTCAGCCACGTCTCTTTGTGTCACCATGTGCACGTTCCGGGTGCCCGCAAGAGCAGCCGGGTATACAAAGAAAACGTCCAGCTCCACGCCATGTTAACGTGTACACAGCTCAGCAGTAGTGCGATCAACAGACCGCAACAATGCGACATCATGCGCAACCGTCGATGGAGACAAAGTCAAGCGCAACTGCATCGCTTCTTGAACGGCCTCCCGAATACCTCCCACCTGTCAATCACGAACCACATCAGGTCAGCGGACGATCTTCCTCAGCTGCTCATAGTGTTCGTTTCCGACAGCGCTTAGTAGCGGAGCGACGTGTACCTCGTTGACGAGTGCGTCGCCAGCTGCGAGTGACTATCGCTGCGTCGGCCACGTCGAAGGACCAATCGAGCACACGCTCTCGTACACACTGAAGACGCCGGTCAGACGTGGAGAAAAGTGCAACAGGAAAACACGTGCGCAAGTCTCGTGACTGTCTCACCGTAGACAGCGAGTGACGTGTGCACGGCACTAAGCGAGTGAACGAGCAGCAGAGTCTCTCCAACTATCGTTTGACGCGACCAGCAAAAACTGCAGGGGGTCGTTCTGCTGCCCAAAAGTAGTCCTGATGTACCCGTTGTGTCGTTTCTTCCTTCTTACGTAACAACACGGTGGACTGACCGACATGGGGATCGAGCGCAGTGCCGTTACTTCAGTCGCTCTTACTTCAGTCGGACCTTCAGGGCACGCGAAAGCCGCACCGCCAATATCCAGCGCGACGTTGCGCTGCTGTTTTCATCATCGCGTCCTGCGTTGCGGGTCAGAAAAAGACCACGCGCACATCCCCAGATGTCAGCTCTGTTGTTCTCTGTGTCCACCTGACGCCAGCTTTGATATCGGCCAATCCGAGTCTCGCGCTTTTCCATATCCACCAATCACAGCGCTTCTTCGGACGTACTCGGCGGGCCAGGCAGTCGTCGTTTACCTATCTTGCTCGAGTGCGCCGGAAGCGCTTTGCGTCGGCCCTTCTCGCAGCGTCTGTGCGTCTCCGCTATCACCTCCGACCCCGTGATCTTCACGCCCGTGCGTCCGTGCACGTACCACTGCAAGTGCGGTGCACAAACTCCTCGTCGAGTCGTTCCTACAGTCTCCCAAGTCGCTGCCCCGGCGTCTCACACTAAATCGCGTCCAGGCGATTGTTCCTGTGCCTGTGCGAGCCACTTGGTACTTCTATCTGCTGCTGCTGTAAGACGCTCTATAGTTTCCACTACTGGTACTGAGATGAGCGACAATTGGCGGCTGGACGTCAAGTTCCAAGGCCGCTCGATTGACCTGATCGGACGCCTTCCGGCGGAGAAACGCGCGCTCTTGCGGGACTTCCCACGTCGGCTCGTGGTCAGTACAAAGGCAAAGCTTTCTGCTATCCCGCACAAGGGCTTTTTCTGCAAATTCTTTGCCAAAAACTGTGAAGAGATTAAAGTTTACATGAAGAAACACGAGTGCGCTCTGTGCGTGCACTTCGTGGCTTCGACGTTCAATTTTACGCTCTATCTGCTGGTGCCCGCGGCGCTGAAAGGGCTGAAGTGTCTGCATCGACTACGGAAGAGCGGTACGTGAAGTTGGAGATCCGAAATGCTGTTTTTGTGGGAAATTGAGCTGGTTTTGACGGTATGTAAGCTGTCGATCTTTGTCCTGTGCGAGAAGGAGCAAGCCCAGATTCTATTCAGTCGCTGTGCACGGATCGAGACGGTGTGGTGATTGGGTTTATTGTATCGGAAGTGAATGTGGAGATGGAGGAGAAGCTGCAGGAAAAACTGAAAGTGATGGAAGAACTGGAGTCATCGGCCAAGGCGATTTCGCACACGTTTGGTGACCCGATGCTAGAATTTGACTTGCTGATTGACCAGTTGGACACGAAGCCGTCGGCTATTCAGGTGTGTGTTGTGTTGCTTGTGATGGATGGAGACTAGTTGAGTGCGTTATGTACTTATTCGGGTCGTTTGTTACAGGCTTGCTCGAAGTTTATTGTTCGCCATCAGCATTTACACGCCGCTATATGCCAGAAGCTAGCCTGGACGATGAATGTCATGCACTCTTCCAAAGCCAGGGCTAGCATTGTGTATGTTGTCCACGATGTGATCAAGACGGTGCGTGCAAATTGTCCACAAAAGGACCGCAATGCTAAAATGCGCGAGTCTGCACTGGTGCTGTCGCTCGAGAAGATCCTGTATCAGCTGACACAAACGATGAAAGGCGATGTAAAGCACAACGTACGTACGAGCACTGCATTCGTGTGCATGCGAGACGCTTGGACTGATGACGCGGGTTTTGTATGCTTTCTTGCAGCTGAATGTTCGAACGGTGTTTGAGTTTTGGGCTAAGTGGGGGTTGCGGTACTCGGCGCCAGTAGCAGGTAAAGCGGATGCACTGAAGCACGACTCCATGCTCAAGATTGACGAGACATTCGAGATGCTGGAGCGAGAGGTTTCGCTCGCGTTTGATGCTTCGTCATCGCCCGTTAAACCATCAGCGCCCCCCAAGGTTGTTGCATTCATGAAGAAGCACAATATCCAGCCGGGTCCGTGGGAAATCTACCTAGAGCGGGCGTCGCCTCAAGAAATGGAAGAGCTGGACGCTGTTCTCGACTTGAATACCAAGTATTTTGACTTCAATCACTGGGATCCGGCTGAAAAGGGAGGCAGACGCGGTGGCGAGATGTTTTTACATCATTATGCCAAGTCAATAATGCCGTGGCTACTTCACGAACCGTCATCCTCTAATGTTGCAAACGTTGGGAAGAGAAAACATGCGAAAGGCTCTCTGATCTTGCTGCGTGACGCGTTCTTGTGCACATGGGACCTCGACCCGACTGCAGCGCGTGCTGTTTCTGATATTGAGCACTCATTGTTGGACGATATGTGGAAAAAGATGGAGTATGTGAAGTGTCAGAACCCTTCAGCGTTTGTATTTGGAAAGGTGAGACGGGTGAAGACAATTCAGTTTGCCAATAGTCCTGCGACAGATGCAATTCTGAAGACAGTCGAAGATGAGTCGAAAGTGCAGTCGAGTGCACTCGTTGCAGAGCTGACCAAGGTATTCAAGCTGGATACGATGGCGCGTGAAATGGTCGCTAAAGTCAAGACAAAGTCCGATTTGTGCTACATTGCAAAAGAGCTATGCCATCGTTGTCGTCACCACATGGTGGCGAACCCGTCAGTACATATGGTGAAGCTTTGCCAAAAGGTTCTTGCCACCAAGAATCCGATGAAGGCTTACTCATTAGCTATGAAAAGCATGATTTCTCGGCAGATGAAGATGTTTCCGACGCTCGATAAGGAGGCAAAGTACGTGCGCGTTTTACCCATTGTTCGAAAATGTTACTCATACTTACACGTGGTTGTTTTCGTTCAGGAAAAAGCGGAAGTTGGAGAGCATCAGTGCGTCTTTTTCTCCTGTAACTGAAAGCGAAGCTTCCAGTCCACCTCAGTCCGACCTGACCGACGCCGAGCTGGCCGCTGTGAAGCGAAGCATCCCGAAGCCTCCCAAGCTGCTATTCAAGAAGGTTGATCTGAAAACAATCACGCATCAGGAGACGAATGATAATGGCACCGTGGGTGTCGCGACTTCCGGTATTCCCAATGCCGGAAAAGGACTATTTAACCTCTCGGCCCACACATGGCCGGCGTTTTCGGTTGTCTGCATCTTCGGTGTTCGACGAATTACGAAAGAAATGCACCATGATGGCCTGAACAAGGTAGCACGATGCGGAGAGCTAGGGGAGACGTTTGTCGTTGTCAATGGCACCGTGCGCGACGTGGACAAGTTTCAGACACAGTACGGTCACCGCTTGATGCCTTTTGACGGTTTGGTGGATGCGGATGGATCGGTTGGCGGTTTCCCGAATGATCGTGTGTACGAGTATCCCGCGGACGTTTATTGGGATGCGTCTGGATTTTACAACAACTGCATTCTCGTGCCCGGTTGCGTAATCGAGAACCCACAGAACACGACGAGTCCGATTGTGTTGAACCAGTTGTATATCGTCACGTGGAAGGAGGTGTCTGTACGCGAGGAATTCTTTCTGGCGTACGGAACGTCGTATTACGAAGACGACGAGAAGACGAGCACCATCAGTGATAGAAGTAGCGCTTAGTAGCGGAATAGAAGCAGCGAGGTCGAGGAATCCGTCTCGCTACAACGTAACCTATGACGAACCAACGACTTGAGGGAACGATCGATGTCCGAGCCATGCAAGGCTTCCAGCTCCCCGTTTCGTCGGTACTCGTGAGAGCTGACGCTCTGTGGTCAGCGCTCAGCAGCACGGTGCTAATTGATCAAATTGCACGTACGAATCGACACGAAGGATCGAAAAGTCAATAGATGGAGTCGCGTACGCTTTTCTTGAGTGATGACTGGCGTTGGAAGTCTGAGCTCATGTGAAGATCGCGCTGGCCACTCGATGCTATTCATTTCGTCACGTGTACAAACTAACATACTTCTCACATCTTAGCTTAATCAACGCGTGCTCCAACACCTCGACTTGATTGCGAGATGCAACTTGCACCCAGGACATGTGTGCTGGACATTCCACCACACATGCAAACATCCTGCGTGGAAGTTGTGGCCACACGGTAGACGCAACGTTTTGTCGTCGGCCAACCACCGCAGCAGATCGGGCACCCGAAGCTGCCACCACTCGAATCACCCCCGCAATCGATGCCTGTGTGGAAGAGCGTTGTTGGCACGATCATACGAAGCACAACTTGCACCAAATCGTTTGCGCACGCTTGACATTCATGACGCTGGTCGTGTTCGATGCCAGCGCTGGCACGTTCCCATGTCCGACGTGCGCCAACATGCAGAGAGGTCTTGAGAATGCGCTATAGATGGCTGCAGCATGCAAAATTCTTGCATCTATTTCCGACTCGACGGGCGCTCGTGCACAGTAGCGTGAGTCCATCCGAAGGTTTGTTGGGCACCCACTTTTGACGCTTGGCGCTGTTCATACGTACGATACAGCATACACCAGCAACGACAGTGTCCTCTGTCTTGGTGATAAGTAAGAGAGTCTACAACGAACAACAGAGTGTATCGCTGAAGAACCTGTGGTTGCTCCTACACGGACAGTGGCCGCTGACTCAACAGACTAATTCAAGTTAACGCAGACGCCATTGTTCGCACTGACGACGTCCATTGGCGAGATGGACTTCATGCAAAGGGCAGTCGCTGCCGCGATTGCGGCGACACAAATCGGAGAATGACAAGTGGACGACCGGCAGGCGATCCGTCAGTAGCTGTGGCTTTCTCCGCCGGAGCCAATGAGCGAATGCAGCGCGGGCAACCCACCGACAACTTGGACGTGACTATTTGTGCCGGTACAAAAACAGGTCGCACGTTGCGGGGTGGCGAGCCCCGTCTGACGACACAGCCGCGCAGTCGCATGTCGTCTGTTTGCGACAGCGACCGCGCAGCCGATGTAATCGAGCGGTGGTGTGGCGCACGCAACTTAACGAGCGATGCAAGTGTCGTCCGGTTGTGGGCGTGTGAGCCTCCCACGCGATATTCGTTGTATCCAGATAAAGTGTCGCCTCGAACCCAAATTTTTGCCCTACAGTGCAGCCGCTCCAGTCAGCGACCGCACTGTTCACATCTGCAAAGGGTCCTGAGCAAATCGAGTCGACTAGGCGACGTCAGACGGAAAGGACGTCCCGCCAACAATAACAATACGCGCTGGTATACAACAAAACATCAGGTCAGGCTCCATGACGTGGTTACATGCACAATGAGGTCTCAGCTCGTGTCCGAGTCGCAATTCTTCTTGTCGTCGCGCCCTTCCTGTTCCTCGAGCACGCGACGGTTCTCAATATCGCGCAGCTTCTCGCGCAAGTCCGCGGGCGTGTAGCGACTATTGAGCGTCCTGTACTTCTTCAGCTGAATAACACCCACGATCTCGCGGACCATCCAGCGTCCGCGCTTGATCGCTTTCTTCACCGCAACGGGGTCCGTGAGATTGCGATTGAGGAAGAAGGCGGCTTTGACCTTCTCACGCACGTGGCTTAGGCCGAGCGGATAGTCGCGGCCGACGAGCAAGAAGCGCCTGTAGAGGTCGCGCACCTTTGGATCCATCTTTTGTGTGTGTGTGAGTGCCGGCAATCAACTAAAGGGTTGTGGGGGTGTTTTCAGAACACTGGCTACGATAATATCTGGATGTTTCATTCTTCTCCGCACTCTTAAATAAGAGTTCAGCAGCATGAGCTCCGAAATAGACCGTCGAGCTGTCCCGGACGAAGTCACGGCGCTGCTGACGGTCAAGATCGGCGAAGTATCGCGCACGTCCCGCAAACACCTGACGATCATCACATTTAGCTTTCTCCTGTCCGAGGGGCTCGACGTGCTCCGGGCCAAAACGGACTCGTGCACGGAAAAGGTGCTGAGCAGTTTCCAGGGCGAGCGCCACGTGCGCCACGACATGGCGATGTACATGCGGCCAGGAGCTCACTCGAAACAGGCGGAGCTGGTTGAGATCACGCACGACAACTTCCACAGTCGCTTGAACCGAAGCTACAAGAACTACCTCAAGCGCAAGACGCACGCGCCGTTCCAGTGCGAGATCTACGTGTACGTCAAGAAGCTGGTGCCGTCGAGGCGTCGACGACTTAAGGAGACTGGAGCGGTCGTCGAAAGAGAGGGCCCGGAAGTCAAGCGAAATCGGTTTACGATTTCTGAAGAGGGAGACGAAGAGCACCGGACGCTCGAGACGGTGCAGGGGCAACAGGTTCCTGGCGGCTACTATCGTCCGGTGCGGATGCTCGTCAACGGAGCTGTTGTGCCAGTGCAAGTGAACGTGCAGGACCTCTTGGCCTGCTTCACATTGTTCCAGCAGCAAACACTCGTTGGATCGACCGATGAAGATGGTCGTCGCGACTACGATCGAGGTGGTCACGAAGCTGTTGACGGAGCTGACCCTGATGGAGACACGTTCGAGTGAGCAGGTCTTCTTGACGAGGCGACAGCGAAAGACGGTCCGAACAAACAAGCCACGAGGCAGACCAAAGCAGCAGGCACTTTCTATCGTACATATTAGGCGGATCCACCCAAGCGCTTGCTTTTCTACAAATGTACTTACTACTGCTACTACTTCTCGCGTGCTGCTGCTGCTTCGTTTCAATGTCCTCTTCCGCAAATGGCTCTCCAACACGGACTGCACTTCTTCTTCGTCGTCTGTTTGTTCTGAGCTTGAGCTTCAGCGGTAGCCGGAAGTACAGACGTACTTACGCATTTCCAAGTCGTGGCAATCCGACCGTGCAGCGAAGCTACAGGTATTTCACAATCCAAAACCCCGGATATGTAAATAGAAAATGCAAAATTTGGCAACGAACCGTGCGTTCCGGAATGCACACGGCAGTAATGGACGAGGCATCAACTTGGAGCTCGTCATCTCGAGCCAGCCCCATTTCAGTACTCCGACGGTGGTAGTCCCGTTGCATCAAAACTGCTCCAGGATGACCCAGAGTCCCGTCGTGGGAGACGTCCACCCAATGTCGAGCGCTTGTCCTCCACCGTTTTCAAGTAACGGTACTGGCCAGGGTGTGGCATGTACTGCTGGTGATGTTGAGCCGGGTCATACGGCTGGTGCTGGAAACCAAACGGGTGCTGTCCGGCTCCTCCTCGTGACGACTGCTGCAACTGAATCTGGTGTTGAGGCACAAAACCCGGTTGCTGGGCAGGAGGAGGTTGCAGCTGGAAAGGGGCTGCTGGTGGCGGCTGATGATGCTGCTGCTGATACTGTTGCTGATATTGATACTGGAGCTGCAGCTGTTTTTCCATCGAGACCGGCGGAGGCGGTGGAACGGGTGAGCTCGGGCCAAAGTCGACACCGAAACCAGAGCCACTAGCTGCAGCGGCCATCTGTGCCGTGTTGCCCTCCACCGTTCGTAGGTCATTCTGACCGTGTGCAAAACGACACTCCTCTTTCGAGTAGTTGCAGTTGCCTTTCAAAAAGTAGTAGCATAGCTCTGTCTTGTAGCTCTGCAATCGTGGCGTGGCGGAAGGCAGGATCGTCTGACTGCCTCCACTACCGCCGCTTCCAGAGCCTCCATCGCGGAGATCGTTCACTCCGTGAGCCATCAGACAGTCGCGACGAGGTTTTGGGCACGTGCCATTTTCGTAAGCTTGACATATCCGAGTCTTGTAGCCGGGTACGTGCTTGCTACTAGCAGCGCTACTGCTCGATCCACCGGGACGCACCAGGTCACTCTCACCGTGCGCAAATGAACACGTGCGTCTCGTCTTGTTGCATTTTCCTTGCATATAATACATGCAAATCTCTGTCTTCCAGTTGTTCGCAGATCCCGGTGGAGGTTCAATCAGTCCGACCTGGCTACCACTCCGATGCGCGCTCGTCTTGCTGTGACCAACGTTTGATGACCGAGACGGCGGAGTCGACGTCATCGATGCCAAGTTGCTACCACTCTCAGCAGTTCGTCGGGCTCCACTCACTGGATTCACACTCGGGTGGGTGCTCAAAATGTAGTCCATGGCTGCCAATTCCTGGTCGTCAAAGCGTCGCAGAATCATCTCCAATTCTTTGATCGGAATAGCGTCGAAAACCTCCGACAGCATTGACAGCTTCACAGATGCTACTGCTGACGGTACCGACACCCTGCCACTACTATCGTGGCTTGTCTCAGGTAGTCCATCTCCTTCACCGTCTTTCAGACCTTGATGCTTAGCAGTCGCACTAGTCAATGAAGCCCCTGGTAGTGGAGGTGGTACCGGAAGCGATGGCGATTTCAAATCGTCCGCACCTTGTGAAAAAAATGGCAATGCTTTCTCCTCGTCGAGCGTGTCGTCGGCAAATGCTTTGGCGTGTCTTGGCGTCACTTGAGGTGAATCCAGCAATGCAGACGGCAAAAACTGATCCATAAGAGTATTCCGAAGCGTCTGTGTGGTCGAAGAAGGCGAGGGAGGCTCGTCGTCGTCCGCGATGCCTTCATGATCACCTGCACCTCTAGACGACTCTGACGGATAAAAGTCGAAAGCCATAAGACTCGACCCTCCCGTAGCACCAGCGGTCGCGCTTGATCCACTGGCACCGCTGGCAGGACCGACAATCGACTCGTTGGATGCCGTCCACGGGTTCTCACTTGGCTCCTGGGCCACATGTGGAGAACGTGGGGACCGAGCACATCCTCCGCCACCCGAACTGGCGTCGTCTCTGCTGCGCCGCCGTCGCAGTTCCTTTATCTCGTTATTGGCGTCGACGAGCGCCAGCCGTTCGTCGATAAGGTCGCGTTTGAGTTTCGTCGAGAGCGCGCTATAGAACGCCAATTTCTGCTGCGAAACTCGCTGCTCGTCGTGCAGTTCGTCCACAACTTGCTGCAGTTGTCGCACTTGAAGCCGCGAGAGCTGGAGCTCATGCGAGAGGCGGTGGACGTCGTCGCGCCCTGGCTTCCCGAGCAGCTGCTCGTCGCCTGGTGCAACAGCGGCGTCGCCTTTCTCCATCTTTAGCGACATAGCCAGTGTTCAAAACCCAACAGATCACATCAGTCAGTCAGTCAATGAGTCAGTCGGTCGAGTGAGACGCACAATGAAGGCGTAATTAACTCGCATAACACATAGCGAACGACACAAATGATGGTCCACCGATTTGTGTCCCGTCGTTAATAAAAACACCATTTCTAACTAGAAAGTCCAGCAAAACCGCCGGACAACTGTCTTCGCCACGTACGTACCCTCGCAAACTTGACAGGACTGGACGCGACGCCATATTCGCGGCCAATGTCCGACAGGACCTGCGCCCAAACGGAATCGTGACGAAACAACACGTACTAATCGTCAGTGATTGCGCCACGTTTCCACCTCAACGACCTCCAAGACGCGTAACAAGCAAACCACAGCAAGTGCGACTCCAAGCCCACACCTGCCGTTGCGCTTTCTGCGTCGCACGAGCTGTCGTCCCTTTGTAACATTCCCTTTTTCACGCACCTGGACAAGGGACGTCTGGAAAGCCTGGCTGACCTCTGCGGCCACGCGGTTCAGCAGCTCACCGGTCTCAGGTTTCGACGCCGTACGCTGTTCTTCAGTCGAAATTAAGGCTTCGTCGACGGCGTCTACCACCGGCGCCGAGTCCTGCTGCTGCTGCTGCTCGGCTGGCAAGCCTGGTGCGGCTGCCATCCCAATTAGTGATGTGGGCAATCGAGTGCGCAGCTGGTGAGTGGTTGGGCGGCGTAACCGAGTTGATGCTGGTGCTTGCTGGAAAGTTTTGCAATTTGCGATGGAGTCGATCAGCGAGTGGGCTGCTGGTGCTAGGAATACGCGACTTGGCGGGGCAAACGCAGGGTGTCAAGTGGCTCTCGGAAGAGGAAGCCACTTGGATCAGGACGCGACGTTCGTTCGCTTTTTTGCGCAGTCTCGAAGTCCAGAGGGCGTCTCTTCTGCTTTTTTGAGATGCTCAAGCGAAGCGAGACTGGCTGGCAGAGAGGCGAGCAACGCGAAAAGCGAGTGCCACGCGGGCTAAATCCGGGCGGGATCTGCCCGTTCTCGCGTGCTGGTAGTCCTTCTGCTGCACGTAAATCGTCGCGTCCTTGCTACTAAATTTTTAGAGCCCGTGCCAATGGACAGGCGAGGCACAAGCATCTTGTTTTGAAGGTGTTCTGATGTGACAGGTCGTTGGCCAGAGACGACAAGTGATAAGACCCGCTCGCGTCGTTTATGGCTACACAGACATTCCGTCTTTGCAGGTTCTCACGAACATTCTTCGGAAAAGAGGGGGGGACCAAACCAGATTCAGTCTGCGTCTTTTCCCACTAGACATGTCGCTATAATTCATGCTACAGAGCTATTTATACACACGCATCGCACAAGCGTACGACCAGCCACGACCAGCTTTGACTCCTGTAGCTGTGCTGAGACGTTTCAGTCGACTCTTCTTGCCGGAAGCCCCTCTGTGACTTGCAAAGACACTCAACTTGTAGCCTCTGGCGGCGAGGCTGTCCGCATGCATTCAGTAGTAGGGCATAAGGTTGCATGGGAATGCGATGGGAAAAGTGCCAGCTGGCAAGAAAGCCGACATAGCCTTCAGCACCCAGAACGGTGCGTATCGGGTTTGCCGTCTTCTAACGGCAACAAAGCAGCCATGTTACACAGCGCAGTTGAGCATTCTCAAGTCCGTCGTCTTTTCAAAACGGTAGAAACGCGGGTACACTCCGCAGAGCGTCACGTTTTTGCTGCGCAAATTTTGCTATATCCGTGATTTGCAGAGTGAATATTCAGCGGATTTATGCTGCAATTATCTGCAAGATCAATTTATGCATGCTGTGGGCATATTCAGCAAAATATCAAACTTGAGGTATGTACAGTCTTTGCTCTGCCTGGATAACTTGCAGAAAATGTAGGACTGTTGTGCCAAACAGTCCGTCTGACGAAATATGATTTGCATCAATCCTTTGCAAAAGGTCACACGAAGGCTCGTTTCTACACATCGAGTGGAATAAAATCTGATCTTTGTAACACGTTTAGCTCTCAATCTCTTTGAGTATATCTGATGCGAAAACTGTGCTTTTGCTCTTATGCAGTTAAGCAAATTTGTGCTATACTGGACGTATTTTCGGACTGAAAATGCGTGAAGCTCACGAAGTGCGATGTAAAAAGCCTCGTCGCACATTTCTAACTAACGCTCAAAATAGCATCTTGCTATCCAGGGTGCAAACCTTAACGATTCCATACTTGATTGGCTGCTATGTCTCCTCCCGGGCAGCGGCAGCTACTGAATAAGCAGTGCGAAGGAGCTAAGTTCAGCACCCACATTTCTAACAGTTCGTGAATGCCGTGACACCTCATGTATACCAACTAGTGTAGGAAGTAGACATCGAAGCAAACCACCTTGTCGGAGGCAAAGAAACCCTTAGTGTTAAGTAAAGAACACGAAATGAACTGAAATTGGTCATTCTACAGGCAGCAAGCACTACCAATGCTTTTCACGCCCCCCCCCCCGCGTCTTCTCCGGCCGATGGTCTACTGATTCGATCACCGCTGATCATCAACGAACGTGAATGAATATCACCCAATGCTAAACATAGGCAATTGATGGATCCCTAAATAGGGGAGGCGGTGAACTATGCCCTCCATTGTTACGCTCAGACGTAACATACCGCACGGCATTGCGTGCTTCGCCAAATTCGACTATAACAAGTAAACAAACAAGTCCATCCGACCGCCGGTACCAATTATATTGCACAAGGATTGCTGAGCACGTACGCTACCCTATCGTAGCATATATACTCGGCCTAACGTCAAGTACCAGACGCGTTTCGATCTACTGAGTCATTTTACGTGTTGCAGCCTCACATTCCAGTACAAAGCACGGCTATTTGACTTAAGAGCAGTGAAAGTACCGACAAACAGCTACAGCCCGTTTCACTTTGAAGCATCACAATATTCCCGGATCATCACGTTTAAATGAGTACTGCTGTCTCATCAAAGCTCAATATGTAGCGGCTTGCAGTACACTGCGTGAACCGTGCGCGATCGTTACGAATTAGTGCATTGGCAGAACAAGAACTAACAATGATTTCTGTATGTCAAAGAAACGGCACAATGTAAGTATTTGACTCGTTCGTCGTATACTGACACCGCGTGAGCTATCTACTGATCATATTGTTGGCACGTTCATCAAACCTTCACGTACTTGTTGAATGATGGCGCCGAGGATCCACGTTCGGTTCGTAAAATAAGAAAGATGAGATATTTTTATTATAATAAGTCGCTTGTCTGGTCAGTTGTAAATCTATTTATCCACATTGAGCAGCGGATACGAATGTTGACCTCCTACTCTTGGCTGACAGTTCGCCTATCATTTGTTGTTGGCGTTGCTAGCGACTATGATAACCTATATGGACCAGTGTGGAGTGCATTCATTGTAGCTCTGTTGGTTGGTCTACAATTGGCCAGTGCATTGGCTACTCGTACCAAATAATGCCTGTAAAGGTAATGACGTTGAGTTGCGTACGCTAGGACAAACTCGCTTAGTGTTATCCGCTCGAACAATATTGGTTTCCGACCAATCAAGAGTCAATGCCATTCAACAAGCTCACATGTTTACATCACTGATCCGTAATGGCACATAATACGGTTATACACATGCGAGTTTATATCGACACTGATAAGAGTGTTGAAAGGTGCGCTGAAAACTCACGTGCACTATGTGGACGAATGTAATCACAACTCCGACAAACGGAAAATAAATTGCCCATAGTACGTGATGGTTGAACAATAGGATTCTGTCATGTAACCATAGCCAATACATGATTTGTCATATTGCCATTTCAGCGAATCAGGCTGGTAGGGGCAGGGCAATCTCATTCCGACATACTTTGGCGGAGCAAATATCGAAATAGGCTTGATCGTCATACAAATACCAAGTCGAAGGCGCACGATGTTGCCTATAGGAAAGATCCCGACAGCGTTGGCACCTCGGTAATTAATTATAAATGAGCTTATCACTATATTTTAAACACATACATAAGCGAAGTTCCCTCCACGTTAATGACATAACACGATTATCTCGCGCGTGCCCGAGTTTGTACAACTGCTTTGATAGACATGTGATTTACTGAATAAAAACACCAATAGACGCTCGAAGACTTCATGAACAAGACAGCACAGGGGGTTTACGAGCTGTCAGTCGTTTCCCCCGGCAAACACTGAGTCGACTTTATCGACAGCAGTAAACAAATGTAACGTAAGCATGCACTCGTTGTTAGCAGTCAACACTTAGTCGACCATTGCTACAGCATTGAACAACTTAAATGAATTCTCTCATTCAAATCCGCTACAGTCAAACAGCTCAACAGGTAAACACGTCTATCCTCGGTTACCCATCTGGTACGTGCTGCGTCGCTGTATCGAGAATTTCTACCTGATACTAGTCTATCTCTGGGGAAATAATCGAGAATGATCAGCGAAAAATCTATGATTACTATTACAGAAAAGTATATAAGTGGTTGGTCGAGTTCTTCGCTTACAACGACCAATCGTGGACGACATGGTATTCAATGATGGCGCTCACTCTGGAGAGCTACTGCCTGACAAGAGTGAAGAAAGACTAGTAAAGAAACCTTCATCCTATATGAAAGGTGATATTCTATTACTTGTTGAGCACATATACATGACTGAAACGAGTACAACGGACTACCATTACGCTGCACTTCATGTTTTATGCAGCATGCTTTCGGCCGGACGTCGGATATGTCACCTGTGCTCAAGCAAGGTCTATCCGTTAGTGCCAATAAATTTTGAGCTCATTTATCAACCTCAATATAAGATATCAAAGACAGAATTGATTTGGCGTCCTATACATTGCTGGCGACTAAAGGAATCACATACTCATCTCCACATGATTCATAAAGCAAGTTATACATATTGTAAGACAACGGAAAGTAAGGTGGAGCAGGGATCACAAATTCCTTGTGTTCCCGACTCTCCACTGGCGACTGGACAACCGACTAACTGATGGGCACTTCGATATCGTGTTCTTGATTGCCTTCCTCACCTTGTGTACCCGTCGGTGGGGCGGGTTGCACTCTTCCATATGGACTCGTGTCAATGGAAAACTTGACCGTGTTTGCGATGGGGTCGAGGTTCGATCACGGTGTGGAAATCTTCACACCACGATCGGGGTTGGTGCGATCACGTCGAATTTGTCATGCGATAACTTGTATGCTTGTGGGGTGCTCGATGTGAGTCACCCTGATCTGTAACAGATCGCCTTGCCCAAATGTAGACCTTGATTCGCGAGCCTTCTGACCACTTGAGCCGTCTCGCGATCTTGGGTCCTCAATCACAAAGGGTTTCCTGCGTCCAGTCGCAGTTGGGGTGTTGTTTGAGAGATCTCGATCCCTGGCCAAACAATCCAGGGATATCACTTGGTTAAGTATGAAAACCTTTCCTTGACGTCGGGTGACCAATGGTCCACCCGAAGGTGAAGCCGACACGTGTACTTTGAAGCAAATTGAACTCTGTTTAATGTTAACCAATCAAACCCAACAACCTTATCCATATCCCCATGTCTGAGACATCGTTTGCCACATGTCGCTCTCTCTAGAAGGTAGCGATCTTGTACTTGCGTGGCCCACACCGGATATACTTGTCTGATCGCGATCACATGCCTGATCACT